GCCCTCACCTGGCCCCAGCTGGACCCGGGCCCGGGAAGCTCCTGGATTCGCCCGAGTTCCCCTGGGCACCTGGCCCCCCAGCCCGCTCGACTGGGCCCCGCGGAGCCCGGACGCTGGAACCAGGGTCTCAGGGTCTCACTCGGCCCCTCTCTGGGTGACAGTTCCCTCCCCCACATTTCCTCCCACTGAGGGGCTGACTTGCTTCTCCCTGTTGCGTCCAGTGCTGCTGAACCAGACAGACCCAGAATCACATGCAGCGAAGATTGAGGGCCAGGCCCAGGCGCCCAGAGGTGGTGGCACAGCGCCTGGTGCCTGCGGGGACGTCCGCTACTGTTTGATCTGTTTTGTGAGTGTCTCCGGTGTGGCCCAGGCCCGGGGAGAGGGGACAAGGACAGGCCTGGGTGAAGGGGAGGGGCAGCTGGCCAGGGTGGTGGGCCCTGGACCAGCCTGCATTTGGCATCAGAGAGCCCTGTGGCCTTGGCTGCGTCACTTCCGTGTGCAGCCGGTTCTCTTGTCTCTGGAACGGGCACTACCAGTCATTGTGCCCAGACCAACCACAGCGTTTCTGCGAGGCTCACAGAGGTCGCTCAGTGGGTAGGGGGCTTGGCACAGGGCGAGGACCCCGAGGGGGATGCGCAGGCTGTCCAGGCTGGTGAGGAGGGGTGGGGGGGGGCCTCGGGTGGGACCTGGCACAGAGGAGCCCCAAGTGGCCCCGGGGGGGGCACCTAGCAGGGCAGGGCTCACATTACCTCGGACACCTTATGGACCCTGCCGTAGGTCTGGCTGCACTGCAGCAGCTGGGCCGCTAGATTGCAGTCCTTCCTATAGAGCTCCTACAAGACAAGAGAAGGAGTCGGCCCAGGCTGCCCCCCAGGCCCTGCTGCCCCGACCAGAAAGCGGTGGGCGGAGCCGATGTGCAGTTCACAGGACAAGGACCCTCCCTGGGCCTCTCGCCGTTGCCTGCAGAATGGGGGCTCAGCTCCGACCTGGAGCTGCTGGTGCATGGAGGGGTGCTGCCCCAGGTGGGAGCCTCCCCAGGTGGGAGCCTCCCCAGGTGGGAGCCTCACCAGGTGGGGGCATCGGGAGAAGGGCCCCCATGGCCCCCGACCTCCGGGAGGCCCAGGCATGAGTCCCAGCAAAGAACTCAGTGGAGGGGCAGCCCTGCGATGCCAGGCTCAAGCCTGCAGCCCTGCCACCCCCGTCTGACTCCCCCCTCACACCCTGCTCTCAGAGTGTGGCCTGGCAGGGGGTGGCTGCAGGGCTGGGGCACAGGCGCTGTGCGACCCAAGGTCCAGGTGGGGACCCGCTCAGCCTCCTGAGCTGAAAACAGATGCAAACAGTAGGAATCAGGGGATTTGGTTGTGTCTTTGGAAAATCTCTGTTGCATGTGCCTGTGGCTGGGCCTTTTATTCCCACCCTTATCCAGGGACCATCCACAGGGAGGGCCGGGCACTGAGGAGTCTGGGGTCCACTGACGGGCCATTGTCATCAGGACTGGGTGCCTGCAGCTCAGGCAATCTGTTGAAGGCAGGGTCACCGC